AATCTACCTTAACCAAAATCAAAGTAGACTATCACTCACCCACACCAGATGGAAAACTCTACAGACTGTCGGTTCACACCCCATCACAAGCCAGCAAAACATCCACGAAACAAAGAAAGGTCTGTCACAGCCAAAAAACACACTCCAGACACGTCGTTGGCACTAGAGGCACAGCATGACCGCCTAGTAACGGCCCCGACCACTGCCGCTCGACCTGACCRGAAAAAAACGTAGCAGGAATATATATATATAAAAGGTTACCAGGCTGTACTTACGGAGGTCCCCGGGCAGACCTCCGTACGTATGGGCGTTCGGGGTCCCGTACGGGGTCCAAACCCGACGGCGTTCGGCCCTCGCCAAAAACCATTTCGGGGCATAAAAAAATATATATTTTTCCTGAATTGTTTTTTGTGAGTTCTTTATGACGTGAGGTACATGCCTATAAAGTTTCAAGTTATTTGTCTCAGCCTAATAAGAATTAAAAATCGCCAAAGATGGCGGTGTCAAAACGTGCTCGCCCACGTTTTTTTCACTTCTTACTTTTTGTTTTCACTTTAGTTCGGGGTCCAAATAATTTTATTATTTTTTGAAATGTTTTTAGTGGTTTTTGCATTATGTGAAGTACACATCTGTAAATTTTCAGGGCATTTAGCTATGCCAAAACAAAATGAAAAATCGCCAAAGATGGCGGTGTCGAAAACGTGCTCGCACATTCACTAAATTTAATTCTTTTTTTATTTTTTATTCTTTTTATTATTAGTATTTGTTTTTTGTATTTTATTTTTATTTCAAATTTGGTAAGGAATTTGGATGTAATGCTTATCTTTGTTTCACTAAATTTTAATTTATTTTTCTTCATAACATATCTTTGTTTCAGATTTTTTTTTCTTTCTATTTTTTGTTTTTGGGTCCGCCTTGGGCCGAAGCATCCCCAAGGGGTCCCATACGTTTTCGGGTTCGGGCGTTCAGCCCGTCCCGAACGCGGGTTACCCTGTATATATATAGGAAAAAAAAGCCCGGGCCTGCAGCCATTTGGCCCAACATTGGTGGTAGGCCAGTAGCGTGATACACGTCGTCTGGTGGCCTACATGGATGACAGTCCTGTCGACAAAGGATCGAGCCCCGTAAGCCCAACGCAGAAGGTGTGACGGAGACGGCAGTAGCAGGGGCAAGGTCCCACTTTCGCAAATTAGGAGATTTCGGCCGTTGATCTTTGCTATCTACGGCCAGTATCTCTTAATTCGTGCAAGTGGGACCTACTAGCCCCAGGTCATCTGTCTGCGAGATAGCATGCTTGACATGGATGCGCGAACACGTCGACGACTTCCCAACAGAAAGCGATCCTGGGATTCTCAGTTTCGCGCCATGTTTTTTCTACACCTCTAAGTTTCGCGCCATTTTTTTTTTTTTCTACACCTCTAAGCTTCGGTAGCTCCACCTTCTGGCTCTCAGTTCAGTTTCCCGCCATCCTTTCTACACCTCAAGTTTCGCGCCATCTTTTCTACACCTCGAAGTTTCGCGCCATCTTCTGCGCACGAACGAACTTCCGCCGTCTCTCTGTATCGCATCTCAGCAGTGTGCTGTGCATACCGTGGGCCTCGCTGCACTACTCACCGAGTGTGCAAAATGACAATGAATCTTCCGCTAGAACATGGAAAGATGCACCGCCATATTTTTTGTCATTTGTGCATGTGGTGAGTAGTGAGTGTAACGAGGCCCTATGGTTTTCTAGCACGCTACTGGAATTCGCGCCTGATCTCTGTGCCTGCTACCATCTCTCTGCCTTCCCCTCCCCCCC